GAGAAAACTGTAAAATTTAGCACCGGACGGATCGTTCTTCTCTTCTCCCTTCCCCTCCGCCCTTACTGGGCAACTAGGCCCAGCTACAACCACAAACTGATACTACCAAGTCACCCAAAAAAAATTTCTTCATCTGACACACGGCTCCCTCCGTCCCTCCCTCCCTACCTAGAACAAAACCACCACGGCCCCGGGGGCGGGGGTTGGGAACCTCAGCCCTTGTACAAGAAAACACATTTCACCCGGCATAGATGATACAAGCACAAAATTATTCTGTTTTTGGGAACCTTATATAATCCCCCTATGTTTTGAAGTGATAAAATTTACCTCCTTAAATATTAGAGTTGATAAATTAAATCCAAACTCTAAATTTCGGGCACAAAACTAAATATTCACGGTTAATTGCATCATTTTTGGGTTGAATTAGTTCTTGAAATTTTCGCCCATACAGAATGTTGCAATCTGTCGACATATTAGCTCTCACCCAGCAAAAGCAATTTGTATCACTTACAAATAATTTTGAAAAATCTCAAATCCCGTTCTTATACACAGTTTCCAAGAAACAATATAGAGCACCCGCATTAGATTAATCTCCGTACAAAAGCAAATTTCAAATTTCCCAAACCTAAATATCAAACATGCAATTCACTTAACCAAAGTGCTAAAGAAATTATAAATCACAATAATAACAACCAGAGTGGGTATTTGGATTTAATTCCACCTGAATCAACCCTCCTCTCCAAACTCTTTCGTGAATCTCTCATGAACTTCAAGGTCAGATTTGCTTACTGTAGGCCTTTGTCTAGCAAGCACCTTGTCAAAATCTGTTCTCGTAATAGGTGGTGGGAGGATCTGCCAACATTTTTTCCAGCAGTAAGGACTTTCTATCTCCAATTAGATAGATATAACACATACAAAATATAACTATAGTGCATCTTTAATCATCATTTCCTAAAAAGGTAAAAGAATCCCTATTCTTTCATAATCAATAATCCCTTGCATACCTTGGAAGCAAGTCCTTTTGCGGCAAGATCCTGCATTGTGACTTGAACTGCACCCTCTTGCTTTGGTCCACACGGGATCAACATACCCTCGGGATTCTTAAAGAAAAACATGGCATCTTGGGTTTTACGAACAGGCTCAAACAGAACATCCTTGACCTGACAATTGGAAACTATAACTTGAAATTCATCTAATAAAAATGATAATATAAATAAAATGTTTTACATACAAGATACACTTACACAGACAGAAACATCTGAACCAGAAAACCCCTCTGTCCTGCGAGCCAAGAGCTCAAAATCACTTTCACTCAAGTTATGAGGAGTATCTCCTAAATGCACCTGTTCCATATATGATATACATATCATACCACAATGGGAAAAAAAAATACTAAACCAATTTGACAGCTCCCGTCCAATAATTCAACTCCCAACAAATACAATCATGTATAATGCTCTTGCCTTGAACATGTGTTGACGAGCCTTTAGATCTGGTAGTGGAATGTATATACGCTTATCAAAACGCCGCCTTATTGCCTGAGAATATAATTTGATCAGTCAAAATGTCTCATCGACCTAATATAAGATCATGTCAAGAGATCTATTATCATCTTACCTGATCTAAAGCATAGGGTGTGTTTGTTGCTGCAAGTACAAGAACTTTCTGATCATTGTTTCCTACACCCTACAACTTGAGGTGGATAAAAACCCATTCCACTATAGGTTTGAAATTACAAGAAAAAGGGAAAAGAAAGAGAACAGTAGCCTTGAACATTGAAAGCCTACGTGAGTTCGATTTAGAGACAATAATTATGTGACAAAAATTTATATTCAGGAAAGAAAATTGCACAAGATATCACGAAATATTGTGATTATCAACAGTTCAAAATAATCAACCGATTACCTGCATCTGCACTAGAAGTTCAGTTTTGATTCGTCTAGAAGCTTCACTCTCGTTGCCTTCACCACGCTGACCACATAGAGAGTCTATTTCATCAATAAATATGATGGAAGGGGCACCTTCACGGGCCATTTGGAAAAGGTTTGATACAAGCTTTTCACTTTCACCCATCCACTTTGAAACGAGGTCTGATGAAGAAATACTGGTCACAAATCAAATGTTAACAACTCTGACAAGAACAAATCCACTTACTGACCTACATTTGTAACAAGAAAATTTCATTACAAGAAACGGGGCAGATAGACAGACAATAAACTAAATGTGCGAAACAGACTCGTGGTTTAAATATTAAGTATAATAAGCAGTGCTGTTAACCATTGGACCAATATGGAAAAACAAAGAGGTAACAGGAAAAAGCACAAATACAAGACAAAACGACAAGATAGAAACCTGACATGCATCATTTATAAACATTTGTGATTTCTCCTCCTTTTTTTTTGGTGTGGATTAACTGAAGGATTCCATTTCAGAAACAATCAAGCAGTGCAGCCCATGAGATAGAACCAAGAAAGGGCTATCCAGCTAAACATCAGAAGCTGAGTACATAAGTGAATAGTAGAATACAATTTATCAGATAAATATTACCTGAAAAATGTGGAGTCAGCTTCAGTTGCAACAGCCTTGGCCAAATATGATTTCCCTGTACCAGGTGGGCCATACAACAGAAATGCTCTCCAAGGCCGTCTTTTACCTAAAAGAGACCATCATTAAGAAACGAGCAACAACAACAACAATAAAGCAGACAATAAGCGCACAACATAACCCGGTCCCATAATGTGAAACAAGAATTTTCCGTTGTTTTATTGGATTTACGCATCAGAGAAAAGCAGCAAAGTAGATTGCTTACCATAGAAAGACCTACTCATACACATCTAGAGCAGATTAAAATTGCGATAAACAAGCATTGACATTCATGGATGAAAAGCGAGGATAGTGATTAATTAAAAAGAATACAATTTGTCATGTTCTGCGATAGCCTTACTAGCATGAAGGAACTTATAAACTATCAACTAACTGCCTGATTAAGGAAGAATACTGATCAGATGCAGTGTTCGGGTGATAGCAGCTAATAATTTTGTTCACAAACTCGTAATTAATATTGACATAAGCTAATATTTCCTTGCAAATGGCATTAGCAACAATCCAATATATTCAGCTACCACGCAAACCAACCTGTAAAGAATTGCGGGAACTTGACGGGCAGGATAACCGCCTCCTGCAATGATTGCTTCGCGCTCTCCAACCCAGCAACGTCATTCCACTTCACATTAGGTTTCTCCCGAATAATCGCTGAATTTAGCCCAGCCCTGAGCTTGGACTGCTCTGGATCTTCTCCATCACCTTCCCCGTCCTTCGGCTTTGTCTTAGGTCGCGTAGCTACTGCAGCATCCCCATTGGATGCCTGGCCAGGCCCGCCGTCATCAAGAACAGCACGGATCTCCTCGGCCCGCCGCAGATACTCGGTGAATTTCTGGGTAATCGCTTCTTTAATTTTAGGGTTTTTCTCATACTTCAAATGGGTCTTGAAGTACTCTAAAGCATTCATATACAAAGGAAACGCTTTTGCATAATTCCCAGCATTGTCTTCCTGCACAGCTTGTTTAACGTATTCTATCGCTTGCTCCTTAAAGTTGCTATACATCTTCTGCCTCTGAGCAAGGGCATAGACGAATCAAAATCAGAACTAGAAGAAAATTACAAGATTGACGAAAACCCTAGAGCTGCAATAAACTCGTTTCAAAAAAGTAATCAAGAGAAATCCCGATCCGAAGCTGAAAACCCTGTGGAATCTTCCGATTAATCAGAAGAATATATCAAAAATCTGAGAAGATTGTGCCTAATGGACGCGCTTCGATGAAGTTGCCCGGGGCCCGACTCACAGAAGATTCTATTGAAATTTGACAGAACGTGAATTTCCTTCATGGATGGTTGATGCGGCGCGTTTAGATTAAAATAGAGTACTTCAGTACTTGACAAATTTACTAATAATTAGAAGTATTACTCAATAAAAATTTTAATATTAGTCTTTTATAAATTTGAAAAATAAAATAAATTAGAATTTTAAATAGAAAAATAAAGTAAATGTTGAATCAACTCTTATATTAAAAATAAAAAATAAAATAAAATGCATTTCTGTTTTTTAAATATTATGTTTACCAGAGGTTAGGCGGACATCTCATCTTCTCATCTCATTCCATAAATAGTTTTTCTGACTATTTATAGTACATATGCTTTTTCCTTTTGCTGTCATATATGTTATGGCTCTACATATGTGTGCAGGAGCGCGCGCCGGTATCTTGCAGCCAGTCAGTCGTCTTCGCAACTAATCACCTCCAATTTGTGCTACATATACTGGTTTATTCCTGTTTGAAGATTCTGCGTATTTATATCAATTTTTTTGCACAAATACGCAACACACAAAAAAGTATTAAAAACTTTTTTAAAATGGACATCCTTACCAAAAACTTGAATTTTAATACTACATCCGGTCCTCTATTTATAAAAGTTAGTTGACTAATTTGAGGAGATTAAAAAAAAAGTTAAGTTAATTATTTGTAATAAATATGTGTTGTCTTTCTTAAAATATCATTTACTAATCAAGTGTATTGACTAAAACTATTATTGATAGAAGAACTATCTTGAAAAAAATATATAAATATAAGAGACAAAGTGCATAAGGGTCTTATATCTAAGACTAAAACGAAAGTCAAATGAGATATTATATTAAGGACTTGGAGGTAGTATAATTTTTATAATCTTCTATTGATTCTTTTGGCTAAAATATTTGTACTTCTGTATTTTTTTAGTTCTTTTTATTATCATGCAGAATTTATTATCCAATGACCTTTACTATGTACAGTGAATATATAAAATTGTCAAAAATTCTCCCCCAAAGCCGTTTTGTAATTTAGAAGCAATAAGGTTTAGAAATACGGGGATGCGTTTGAATGAATGAGGGTGAAAGAGGCAAAGAGCAGACCCGCGTTGGATATTTTACGCGAATTATTACAAAACTGGAAAGGTGCAAAATACGACGTTGACCCTCCATTCCTCTTCTGGTGCTCGCCGCAAGTCGTGGAAAAGTTTGGTGTCCCGGGTTGTTCCTGTGTCGGCGGAAGTGCAAACAGAACCGACGAATGGGAAAGAGGGAGAAGAAGCAGAAACATCAACGAAATCATCATCGTGGTGTCTTCAGCTATTGCCAAGATGAAGAAGATGATAATTTTGTCTACCAGCTCACCCAACCCTACTCTTCCTCTTCCTCGCCTCCCAGGGCTTCTCTCTCAGATGAAGAGAAGGAGCATGAGATAGAAGAAGATTATGATGACGACAACAATGGTGAAAAAGAAGCTGTAAAGGACGAAACCTCATCAGATGACATGCCTTCCAAGTTTCTTCTTTACCAGCAATCTGTACAGGTTTGAGCTACCATCTGGCCGAAAGTTTTTTTTTTTTTTTTTTTGTCATTTCTCTATTAGGTTGCTAAGAAAATTTGGGGAGAAGACTAAATACCTTTTAGTTAGCATCGCAATTCCATGTCCATTGATGGGAACAATGTGTTGCGTTATTTATTGAGATTCTAGATAGAATTTACGTGTTTGGCGTCGTTCTCGAGTTTCCTGATGACCAGTTAGATATATTTTGTGGTTTTTACTTTGTTTCTAAAAGAGGATTCATGTTATCATTTATGGAATCATGTTTTAATGCAGTCTCCCAAAGGAGACATAAGTTATATGCAAAAGTTCTTTCTCATGTACGTTGGTGGAAGGATGCCCCTCCATCTTCAGGAAGATTTCTGTGGCACCGCATTTCTTAGGTAGGTACATTGTGTCTTTGAGTCTCTTACAATTGGTTTGTATGACCCCTATTTTGATTGATTATCCCATTTAACATCTTCTTTATTGGGAACTTGAGGTTAAATATCCTTTGATTGGCAGGGGTTGTTTTGGAAAAAGTTGTTTTGATAGGTTGTTTTCACATACACGTACATAATTGAAGAAAAAAGGCCTTATTCATCAATTTCATGTGGGAATCATATACGTTATGATGCGCCTATCTTTTGCTGTTTAAAAATAATTTATTAATACGTTCTGCATGCTGTATATAATACCTGGCTTACCATTTCATGATTTATGAGAGCAAAAGTGCAGGTTAATTCAAGGATATGGGAGTGTTTTTTAACCTCCATGACATTCTCTAGACTTTTCAGTTCTTTAATTGCTTTGTATTGCTCAGTACACAATAAAGGTAAACTGTTGGAAACTGGATTCTAAGGGCCTACTCTTTTTTCCCCCCTTTTATTGGTGATATTCTCACATTTCATGCAAACCGGTTACCTGACCCTGATCTTCTGACTTTTGACAGTCTAGAGTGGCTCCGTAGTGATCCAAGAAGGACTGCAGTAGGATTGGATTTGGATCTTGAGGCACTTCAATGGTGCATTGAGAACAACATACCAAAAGTTGGAGCAGATGGATTTTCTAGAATATCCCTGTTTCATGGGAATGTCTTGCAACCTCTTCAGTCTAAACTTGTCGTGAGCAGTCCTCAGGAGTTGATACGTAACATAACACTAGCAGACAATAGAAAGATTCTGGATACTGGTATTTTGGAAGCTAAAAGTGAAGCAGGCTCTACTGATCAAGATTATAAGTGTATTAAAAGAAATGTTTCGCTGCCTGCAAGAGATATTGTGTGCGCTTTTAACTACAGTTGCTGCTGCCTCCATAAACGATCGGACCTGGTTTTGTATTTTAGGCAGGCTCACTCTGTCTTGTCAAATAAAGGTGGAATCTTTGTGATGGATTTATATGGGGGTACATCCTCAGAGAATAAGCTTAGGCTTCAGAGGCGATTTCCCAATTTTACGGTATACTGTTCGTCTTGCTGTAAATGTGTAACGTTAACAATTAACTGCATTAGATAGAATATGCTAGCCGTAATGTGTATGGAACAGTTGGCTTTGGGGGATAATCAGGTATGAATGAATGCCTGGATGCTTTTTAAACAGTGAACCCAATTCGGATCCTCCAGACAGAAATATCTCCTTGCTGATTAATGGAACAGCACTTTTTATACATCAACTGGCGAACCCTCTTGAGTTCCTACCATAACTGAAGCACTTAACTCTGATTTCTCAAATTTGGTTCTTCCTGCTCACTAGTTTCCTTGCTAACCTTTTTTTCATATATATATATATAGATATATATAATCGTATGTGATATCTAAATATGATTAAGCATATTTGGGAGGGAAATTTCAACATTAGTTAGGGATATTATCTTTTTCAGTTGATCAGCCTCATACACGCAGTTGGAGCTAGCATTTGCTCATGTTTAGCTATCAAATGGGTCAATAGGTAACAGGGGATTGTATATGTAATACTCACCAGCATCTTGTTTTACAACGTGAACTTTGTTATCAAAATCTGCAGTATGTATGGGAGCAAGCTGATTTTGATATTATTGAGAGGAAAACAAGGGTTAGCCTCCATTTTCATCTCAAGAAGCAACAAAGAAAGCTTCGCCATGCATTTTCCTACAACTGGAGACTGTAAGTTCATATTTATTGTATGCCTGTATTTCCTTTACTTGAAAATGAAAGAATGAAAATGAAAAAGAAAAACTGTCCAACACTTTTGAGGTGCAAACTCAGTTTAACAGCTAGGACTTCGATTTTATTTCTATCCATACATCAAATTCAGCTCAGTAGCTAAAACTTCACTTGTATTTCTGTTGGTATATCATATTTCTGGTAGTTTTCTGATATCGAGGGAGTTGTGCTTCCCAGGTGGACATTGGCTGAGATCAGGGACTGCTTAGAAGAGACTGGATTTCAGTCTGTTCACTTTTGGCTTCGACAAATGCCGGATACCACTGAGATTACAAATACCGAGGGATTTGGGATGGGGAGGGGCGTTAGGTATGAAGAGGCAACAAGTTTTCCACAACAAGACGCCTGGAATGCCTACATTGTAGGTGTAGCGTAGCTTCATTTCAGGTTTACCTTTTGCTTCTTTGAAAGACTCTATCATGTGAAGTTGAATCGGTTAAAAGAACTATTGAAGTTGTGAGATGAGACTGAACCTGATAGTCAAGGTTTACACTCCTGAACTTAAATTTTGCGTGTTATTTTGAATTAAGGTTGAGATCATGAGGAGAAATTTTCTAGAGATTCATAATGGTTTATGCCAGTGTCCTCGTACTGCATAATATCAGCGCTGGTAGCTCATATTTAGTAATTACTATTCTGGTTTAAACAGACTTAGATGTAGGAATTAGTAAATGCTTTAGGATTACCAAGTATATGCACGGCCTCCCCCACCATCTATGCTTTCTCCTACCCTGCTACTCTCGCGTTGGCAAAATGGGTCTCCATGGTAAGTCATTGGTAATTGCACCAGTGTCCAGATGCAGTAAATGTTTTAGGATCACCAAATCATTTTTTTATTTGGAAAAAGTTAACTTTTCCAGAATTCCAGGGGCAAATATTGTATCATTTGCCCTTGAAAGTTGATATACATGATACATGGCTGCGAGTCTAGCCAGCTTCAGAAGCAGTCCTTTTTTGGCCAACGAATCAATCCTTTTTTTCTTTTTCTTTTTTTTGGGGGGGGGGGGGGTTGCTTCTTTTTTGGGGGGTGTCTTTTGTTTGGGAATATATTTGGATTTTTGTTCAAATTATGAACATAAAATGACGGAAAAATATAAAAAAATGTATCAAGAATAGCACTATCGTGTAACTACCTATGGCTAATTCAAATAGTATGGACATGACAGGACGCTACTAGTCGTCGATATAAGAAAAAAAATATGGTCTCGTTATGCATTTTTTTGAAATTTTTTTAAAACTATTATATCATTAGACTGCTTCTTTGATAGGTAATCATCGGAGGACCTTCCTTTCCTTAGGTTACAAAAACATCTAAAAACTTTTCATAAAATTTTATTTAAAAAAAAAACTCAAACCACAAGAATTGTGTGTACACTTTCTTAGAACCAGGGGGGGAAAAAAAAGAGCCTCAGACACACAAATGACGGGTACACTAGAAACTGTTCCTCGAATCACTTCAGAAGATTGTTCACATACAGAGTCTTGGAGAGTAAAATAATTTTCACCTTCAAAGATTCATCTCCGTGTGAAGGGGAGTTTAAATCCCGAAAATGAACTTCAAGAAAGATGCATTTCATTTGATCCACTCAAGAGATTACAAGTCATGATATTTCTAAACACAAATCCTTTGAGTGAAATTCTATCGAATCAACCTTCTTCTCCGAACTCTTTAGTAAATCTCTCATGAACCTCAAGGTCAGCTTTGCTCACTGTAGGCCTTTGTCTCGCCAGTACCTTGTCAAAATCTGTTCTCGTAATGGGTGGTGGAAGGATCTGCCAACATACACTTAAACACTTAGCACTTCTCACCAGAATGAAATAGAAGCAGAACAGCTTAACCCAGCACAAAGACATCACAAATCTGCCTTATCTGATATCATTTCCCATTAAGGCAGCAGAATTCCAACCACAGTCAAAATTAGTAGCATCATCCATACCTTGGACGCAACTCCTTTTGCAGCAAGATCCTGCATGGTGATCTGTAGAGCACCCTGTTGCTTTGGTCCACAAGGTATCCACATACCCTCGGGATTCTTGAAGAAAAACATGGCATCTTGGGTTTTCCGAACAGGCTCAAATAAAACATCCTTAACCTGTCAAGGAGGGGGCAACCCTTTATTGAAATTCATCCAAATAAAAATTAAATAAAATCAGGAACTTCATCAACAAATCAAACTTACACAGACAGATATGTCTGAACCTGAAAAACCCTCTGTCCTACGAGCCAAATGCTCAAAATCACTTTCACTCAAATTATGAGGAGTATCACCCAAATGCACCTGTTCAATTTATCAAGCCCCGGCATAAACATTGTAAAATAAATATCTAGATTTACACAGTCCAATAAATCCTATCCTATAATATCTATCATATTTATATTGCCCTTGCCTTAAACATATGTTGGCGAGCCTTCAAATCTGGTAGTGGTATGTATATTCGCTTGTCAAAACGCCGCCTTATGGCCTGAAGTTACAAACTGATTAGTCCAAAACAAAAAAAAAAACCATATTGTTTCTAAGATAAAATCACATTAGCCAATTTATGTTCTTATAACCTGATCAAGAGCATACGGTGTATTTGTTGCTGCAAGAACAAGAACTTTCTGATCATTGTTCCCTACACCCTGCAATATAAGTTAAAATTTATGTTCACATGACCAGATGAAACCCTAAGAAATCCTGCCTTTGTAAATGGATGATAAGACATTAGGGCTCAATTGGGTCAATAGACAGACATGGCCTTGAGAATTAATTATATTTTTATTGTAGCATTCCAACTGAGTTTTGCACGCAACCCATTACACAACAAAACTGGAATCGAATTTTCTAGTTGATACACAATAATGCAATTTAGAGGTCAATTTGCAAAGGAGGTTATCATGTTTATGGAGCACCAACAGTTCCCGCCAAAAACTATTACCTGCATCTGCACTAAAAGTTCAGTTTTGATTCTCCTTGACGCTTCACTCTCATTGCCTTCTCCACGCTGACCACATAAAGAATCTATTTCATCAACAAATATGATGGAAGGCGCACTTTCTCGAGCCATTTGGAAAAGGTTTGAAACTAGCTTTTCACTTTCACCCATCCACTTAGAAACCAGGTCTGATGAAGAAACACTGGTAGAAATCAAGAGTTAAAATATGTTCACAAGAATACACCCATTTATGGATCTGATGAAGGTACCTAATATGCATCATTCATCAAGGCATATATGCCATATGCAGCAACATAATCAAATTATTCATTATGAAATTAGCAGTCTTCTCACATTCGACTTTACAAGATTTAACTGAAATCATCAAAGTAACTTTAAGGCAGAAGCATTAGAACGCAAGCATAGTAAGGATTCTACAATGGTACAAGAAGCTGTAGGATCATCGAATGAACTGTCGCAAATTTAAAAATTAGTCAAGATCAAATTAATACTACCTGAAAAATGTGGAGTCAGCTTCAGTTGCAACAGCCTTGGCCAAATATGATTTCCCAGTTCCAGGCGGGCCATACAACAAGAATGCCCTCCAGGGTCGTCTTTTACCTGGGGAAAAAAAATACCAGGAAAAAAAATATTAAACACTTGGAGGCATGAATCATTTCGTGCTTCTATAATGTGAACTCTGAAAACAGCCATCCATGCTCTTAGTGGGTGTTTAGTTTTACATTGAAAACCGCCAAAATCAGCATGAAACCAAACACCGGCTTAGACTGGGATGCGGAAAAAGTTTCGATAAGATAACGTTTTGTCCCTTGTTTTTAAATTTGAGGTCACACATGAGTAGGGGCAGCCAAAAATACGTCTTTAATTAACAGATTTGTTTAGTCGACCATAGAAAGACCTACTTGCATAGATGTAGCGCAGATTAAAATTGTTAGTGGCGTCTTAAAAAAATTGTAACTAGCGAGTCTAAATACCACCCGGCAAACTGGTTGGATAATGAACAGTGAGGAACACTAAACGCATTTGGTTGATCAATAACATTACTAGCAGAACCGGAGGATAGACTTCATTAACCTAAATCCTAAACGCATTAACCAATTAGAAAAACGATTATCAAATGCAGAGTATGGGTTCTCTAACGGGCAGCTAATACGGAGGTGGGCATAGGGGGTTGGCATTTCATTGCAACTGGCATCATCAATGATCGAATACAATCAGCAACCACGAAAACTAACCGGTGAAAAATTGCGGGAACTTCACAGGTAAAATAACCGCCTCCTGCAAAGCTTGCTTGGCGCTCTCCAGTCCAGCAACATCGTTCCACTTCACATTGGGTTTCTCTCGAATGATCGCTGAATTCAGTCCAGCCCTGAGCTTTGACTGCTCTGGATCCTCCCCATCCCCTTCCCCATCTTTCGGTTTGGTCTTAGGCCGCGTAGCTACTGCAGCATCCCCATTGGAGGCCTGGCCAGTCCCTCCATCATCAAGAACCGCTCGAATCTCCTCAGCCCGCCGAAGATACTCGGTGAATTTCTGCGTAATCGCTTCTTTGATCTTGGGATTTTTCTCGTACTTCAAATGGGTCTTGAAGTACTCCAAAGCATTCATATACAAAGGAAACGCTTTTGCATAATTACCAGCGTTATCTTCCTGCACAGCTTGTTTCACGTACTCTATTGCTTGCTCCTTAAAGTTGCTATACATCTTCTGCTTGCGACAAAAAGCATAGACGAATTAAAACCAAAAGTATCAAAAATTACCCGGCCAACTACAACCCTAGGGTGGCGATCAAATCATCTCAGAGAATAGATAAAGAGAAGCTCTGATCGATCTCCGAAACACGAAAAAATTAATGGTTCTATTGAGATTGCTGAGAAAGATCGGAGGGGCAAAGGGAGAATAGCAAGGATGATGGAGAAGTTTCGTGGGTCAAAAGGACGCGTTTCGATGGAGGGTGGCTAAGTCAGGGCAATACCGCAAGATTGTGTGTGGGAACCTCGCGAATACCAATTACCGAGTGAGGAGAGCTTTTCTAATTCCTTCTGCTGTTTGCGTAACTAGATTCTGCCACGAACCATTTATTACTTATTTATGATGCGATAATGTTCATAAATTGATATATAATCAATTAACAAAGATATGCATATTTGATGTAATTTGTAGGTAATTTTTACTGATTTAAATTTATTTGTAATTTTAGTAACAGAGGGGTGTTTTGTTAATAACAAATAAGTGACATATTCAAATGCATGCTAACTGTTTCATTGATTAACAATACAGCGCATTAATAGATAGATTTTAAGATAATAAAAAATATAAAGCATGCTGGAGTTATTGCATAAATATTATTATACCAATTAAGTTTTATTGGCAACATTTAAAGTTGGATCTTTTAATTAGTTTTTCGTTCGTGCCAAAAATTAAGAATTTTAAAAATATTCACGATAAATGATAAATTGACCGATTAATTTATGATATCTAGACATTGATATTAGACCTATTTGATTATATATTAATTTGATAAAAAGATTCCAGCCAGAAAAAAATTGAATAAAAAATTTAGTAATCGAGAAAGCTTGCTACAATCATAAAGTTATAATTTGCTTTTTATATCATATTCATGGATCTGAGCGGTGATAAATTGATCTGCAATCACCATGTATACTTAAATCAATGGAACCCAGACATTACTTGTTTATACCCTCTCGCATTCCTTTTTAAATCCTTCACATATTTATTGCGTTTATTTCTGGTGAAAAATCTGAGATATGTGACTGTTCTAATTGAAATGTATTTTCTTGACACGTTTGGAATAGCCGCGAGGCTCAAAAAGGGAAGAATTATAATCGCATCTAAAAAAAAAGAGTCTAATTATCATAGAGTTTATTAATAATTTAAGAATATGTAATGATAGGTTTCAAAATGAGAAACAACAATAAATTCAAACCGGTCACTTGTTATTAATTTTTTTTAATAATTAAACTTCTTCTTTGAGAAGAATAACAAATCTAAAAAATTCCTACACATACATAAATTTTAACAGGCTAGAAACTTTTTTCCGTGCGCACAGGGTAATGCCGTGATACTGTTATATAATTTTGATTTAGTCTCCTAAAATTTGAAAAGCCGACACGAACTACTGTAAAATATTACTCCTCCGGTCCTAATTATAAGACCCAATTGACTTATTTGAGGAGATTAAGGAAGTAAGTTAAGTTGGTTATTTATAATAAATAAGTGTTGTCATTCCTAAAATATCCTTACTAATTAAGTATATTGGCTAAAACTATCATTATTAGAAGGATTATCTTGGAAAAAATGTATAAATATAAGAGACAAAATGGATTGGGTCTTATAATTAGGACAAATAAAAAGTCAAATTGGGTCTTATAATAAGGACCGGAGGAGTACAAAAATAAAGTTATGCTACTATCGTAGTTGGTCATAGAAAGTAAGATATTATTATGCGTTTAATTTTTAGTCTTTTTTTTTCTTGTAATAATTGTCAATGGTCTTGAAAGTATCTATGGGTTGTTAAATCTGACCCGACTCCTTGTGAATTTGAGTATTATAAGATTTTAATGAAAATTGATTAATGATTATTTCACTAAGAATTTTGAATAGAAAATTGATTAATGATTATTTCACTGCAAACAAAAGAATTTGACAAACTCACCACACCCCCCCCCCCCGGTGCTCGTAAATTGTTTTTGGCGTAGGTTGGTGATGTTTTCTTCTTTCTCTTCTATTTTTTTTAATTCTCATTTATGAATAATACACCCTGTTATGTATTTTTTTATATATGATCACATTGTTAATTATTTTACATGTCATGTAAAATTTATTTTAGAGTTAATTGAACAAGCTAATCCAACATTCTTCTTAATTGTTAATTGTTTTATGAGCACATTCTTCTTTCTCTTCTATTGTTAATTGAACAAGCCAATCAACATGGTTTAAGATGAATTTTACAGTTAATATTATTTTTAATTCATAAAACTTCTCTCGTTTTAATTTTACTCATAAAATTTAAAATTAATGGTTTTAACCTCATTTTAGTTTTGTCCCTAAAATTTAAGCCAATGGTTTGGGTTTCTGGTATTTGAGTTTATTTTAGTTCATCTCAAAATTTTTTATCCTAAAACAAAAACAAAAACAAAAACAAAACTGAGGTTAAAATTCAGGGACCAAAATAGCTTATTTTAAATTTTAGGGACTAAAATAAAAAATGTAGTGATTAGTGAATTCTCCGATCTAATTAAAAACATGAGACAATACGCAGCATTACTAACAAGCCGTTGAATTTTGAGAACGGGAGACTAAAATAATCCTTTCAAGCGAAAAGAGAAAAAAGAGAGAGAGAGAGAAGACATACAAGAGATATTAAAACCAGTTTTCAGAAGATGTTCAAAGCTACTCAGGTTAAGATTTTTTCCCCCGAAAAAGTTTAAAAAGAGTTTTAAATCAAATTTTTTCATATAATTTAAAATATTCTTAAGTCATTTTAGACTTGAAACTAATCTGGCCTTCTCAACAAATGCACTCTATGAGTTCCAAATTCATATTTTTTTTAAAATACAAAATAAGACTGCTTATCATATCAATTACAGTTTGTTGGTAAATAAAATTTTTTATTTAGTAACAATTAAACACACGCATGATTGGCTTAAACTCAATACCTTATCTAACTATAACAGATGAAGATGGCTAGTTACAAAAGAGGTTAGGATCATAAAAAACGGGTAAAAGAAAAATTTTAACTAATCATGTGAAAGAATAAACAGCATCATTCATAACTTTAGTTTTTTTTTTCCCGCAAAGCCAACGCATCATCTATAACTAGCACA